ATCCTCAGATCTTAGACTCCCAAGTAGCTATGATTAGAGGCCTGAGCCACTGCTGTCTGGCCCTTTGTCTTTTAAAGAAAAGTTGGGCAAAGCCCCAGCAAGCGCAGCCTTTGCAACTCAGAAGGAAGACTCACACCGGTGAGCTTCGCCCAGCGCCCTGGGTGTGAGCACGCACTGTCCTAGGTGTGGAATTGTCCTGGGACAATTCCATCTTCCATCGGGGCCTGTGGAGGACAGGAGCGGGGTGAGCGGGCCGCTCTCTGACTCTTCTTGCAAACACAGTAATTCAAGAAGTTGTACTCTGTGACCCTGGCTGGGAGGCCCTGTGGGAGCCCTGGCACCCATGCCCCCACCCCTCCATGGGGCTCTTGGGAACTCAGGGATTAGCGCAGAGCAGGGCAGGACCAGGGAGCAGAAGGAGGCCTGAGCAGGGGCTGGGGGCATTGTGTCCAGGCTGGGTGGTTTTTGGTCTGTCTGTGCTATCTCATCTAGCCCTGAGCTTGGCACAGACAGATGCTGGGCATTTGGGAAGGGAGGGGCTAGAGAAGCAGAAACGAGGAGGTGATGGGGCGGGCAGGACCCGTGGGAGGCGTGGCCAGGAGCCCTTGCCTCGATGAGCTCCTCCTTGGATGTGAACTCAGAGACCACCACGCTTTCTCCGTCTTCCAGGCGGGTGAGGCCCACGTGCAGCTTCCCGGTGGTGGCCTTGTAGGAGTCCTCGGGCAGCGCGTGGTACAGAAACCGCCGCATGGTCTGGACCATCTTGCAGGATGGAGACAAGGGGCCCAGGAAGGACTTCTTCACCTCGGCCAGGCCCACGTTCAGGAATCTGAGGTACTCATCTGTGGGAGGAGCAGAGGGTTGGGGGGCCTCAGCACAAGGTCTTCACCTAGAATCCGCTGCCCACATGTCCTGAGCACAGCCAGGCACGGAAGGAGGATCTCAGACTCCACAGATCCCCCCAGCTAGGCCAGGGCAGAGCTGGGCGCAGGTGTCCTGCTCCAAACGATCAAACCAGTGGCCAAAAGACACCTTCCACCACCTTGCTCCCAACTCTACCCCTGCAGGGACACCCACGTCACACCACATTCTTGGGATCCTAGATGAGATCGCTGAGAAGACACAGATTGTGTGTGTGTGTGTGTGTGTGTGTGTGTGTGTGTGTGTGCTGTGGGGCTTGAACTCAGGTCCTAGGTGTGGTCCCTGAGCTTCTTTGGCTCAAGGCTAGCACTCTACCCTTGGGGCCACAGAGTCACTTCCAGGTTTTTCTGTAATTAATTGGAGATAAGAGTCTCCCAGACTTTCCTGTCCAGGCTGGCTTTGAACTGCAATCCTCAGATCTCAGCCTCCTGAGTAGTTAGGATTACAGCTGTGAGCCACCAGCGCAGGGCTCAGTGTGAGTCTTTACTGGGTGGCGCATGGGACCCTTGCCTGGTATTGAGAACCCCACCTGTGCAGTTTGGGTTAAGAGCTGAGCAAGAAGTGCTTCCATGCTTTACCTGACAACACGATGTTGAAATAAGAATTTTACCATTTTACGAATCAGGAAACTGAAGCTCAGACAAATAATATAACTTGAGCAGGGTCCAGTTATTTTGTCTAGTATGGAGACAGAGTGAGATTTCTTTTCTGGGAGTGGGGAGGTAGAGGGGGAGGCACTAGGTTTGGGACTCAGGATCTTGAATGTAATAAGTAGGAGCTCTACTTTTTTTTTGGGGGGGGCCTGAACTCTGGGCCTGGGCGCTGTCCCTCAGCTCTTCAGCTCAAGGCTAGTGCTCTACCACTTGAGCCACAGCGCTGCTTCTGGTTTTCTGGTGGTTAACTGGAGATAAGAGTTTCATGGACTTTCTTGCCCAGGCTGGCTTTGAACCAAGATCCTCAGATCTCAGCCTCCTGAGTAGCTAGGATTACAGGCACGAGCCACAGATGCCTGGTGCCCCTGACAATTTTTAAAGCTACATACACTTAAAGGTCACCACAGTGTTACTTATAAAAGGGAATATTTGGAAATTCAAAGACATGATAAGTTTTCTATATAACTGTGAGGAACTATTATGCAAATATCAAAAAGGCCAGCAACAAGAGACCATGTGGTATTAGAGAGAAAAGCTTTGGAGACAAAGAGCTCTTTTTCTGAAGCCATGTTCTAAGGAACATTATTTCCTTTAACAAAAACATTTACATGGACACCTGTTTACTATGCACCTTAGAATGGCCCTTCCATTTTCCCTGATGTAAAGCCCAGAAGAGAACCAGCTGAGGGGCCACCTTTCTGAATCAGCATGGGCCAGTCTCTCCTCTCTGATTTGTTGATTGACATGTCACTCAAAGTCCTATCCAAGGATAAACTACTCATATCTAATTCTACATGGACAAAATGGCTTTCTTACAAATAGGATAAAGTGGATGAGCATGAAGTAAAATAGAAAATTCTGCTGGGGAATTTGAGCTATGTCTGACCTGAACACAGTTATTCTATTTTATTGTGTCTTTTCTTGTTTTGGTACTGGGGATCAAACCCAGGATGTTACAATTGCTAGACAAATGCTTTTCCTACATTCCAGCCCTACCGTTTTATTTTTATCTCCTCTGGGGCTCATGGGGTACTTACTGAGCCTCCTCAGGTACAGAACGGTGTCATCATAGCCCCGGTAGTAGTACTCCTGCAGTATCTGAGGGACACCAGACAATAAGACCGCAGTGCTGGCCGCCAGCCCTTCCCACCACAGCCGTACGCCATATTCCATCGAGCTGGATGTGTTAGGGGTTCCAAACATACCCATCCAGCAGCCCATCCCTCGCTACCTGCTGAGATCTGGGGATGCCTTGTCTGTATGGTCCTAGAAGAGCAGAGTTTGGAGTGTGGGTTCAAATCCCAGTGCTATCACTTACTGGCTGTATGGTTCAAACTGCTCATGGAAATATTCCTGGGCTTTGCTGGCTACAGTCTCCAATGCAGACTTGCCCTCCCTCCCCTCCCTCCTTTTCTTTCTTTTTCTTTTGGTCAGTTGTGGGGTTTGAACTCTGGGCCTGGGTGCTGTCCCTCAGCTCTTCAGCTCAAGGCGAGCGCGCTACCACTTGAGCCACAGTGCCACTTCCGGTTTTCTGGTGGTTTACTGGAGATAAGAGTCTCACAGCCTTTCCTGCCTGGGCTGGCTTTGAACCTCGATCCTCAGATCTCAGCCTCCTGAGTAGCTAGGATTACAGGCATGAGCCACTGGTGCCCGGCTCCTTCCTTCCTTATTCTTTAACAGTTTTGGACAGCTGTAGGCTATATAAAACAAGCCGTGGATTTGGCCCTGGGCTTTGCTTCACTGACTCTCAGAGTGGAAGTGTCAGGTGACATTCCCACAACTGTTCTCACTTCATCCTGTTTTACATGGGGAAATTAAGGGGGGCGGGGGAGAGGGCGGGTACTGGTCCCCAGACACATAACGAGTTAGCAGCAAGGACAGGAGTCCATCTAAGAGTAAGTGACCCAGGATGCATTGAAGGGGAGGAGACCCAGCCCCTCCCCCATTGCCTGGCTCTGAGTGCCCCTCCCCCCCTCCGCCCTTTCTGCCCAGGGCCCCTCCTGCCTCTCACCACCAGATCCGGGGGAAACAGGGCGTGAGTCATCCGTGTGATGTTCTCCAGGGAGAACTGGAAGGAGAAATTGCACAGGCGGAAGTCGTGGAAGATGGCGGGGCAGTCCCGGGGACAGATGTCCTGCTGCCCGCTGAAGGTGGAGATGGTGATGGAGTCCGTCCAGAAGGAGCAGGGCTGCATGCTCGTGAAGCCGCCGTCAATGTACCTCTGGGGGGAATCAAGGGGAAAACGCTTATCTGGGATCCGCACCGCCCGAGGTGGAGAATCTGGCTTAGGGAACAGCGGGTGAGGAGAGCCCTTGGGATGGACGGAGGTCCTTGTGGAAGAGTGACCTGTCCGAGGTACTGAGTGAGTCCTCGTGGACCCCAGCCATCGTGGCTGTGCTGAGATGGGCTCGCGGGCGCGGTGGGGTCTAACCTTCTCCCGCCTCCTCCTTGGGAGGCTTCGGCTTCTCCACCCATGAACTGGACCAGGATAACAAATGCACAGAGGCCCTGCCACTGGGGTGCTTGAATGACTCTCGGGTATATTTTGTGGGCACCAGCGACCTCACCCCCCCAATCGTAACCTTAGGCCTAGAGTTTGACCTGCACCACTTGGAGCCTAACCTTCAACCAGGAGTTCCACCATTACGGAGGCTGGCTGGGGTGTGGAGTCATGGCCTATCCACACCCCCAACTGACACCCCCGACTCACAGGCACATGAAAGTCTGTGAGCACGCGGCTAGCTGGCCTGAAGACCCCATCCGTCAAGGCCCCGTGTCCCAGCATCCCAGGGTCTGTATTCTACAGGCTAGCTCAAGCCAGCAGAGACTCAATTTGCCAGGCTAAGTAATGGGTTCATGGGTCAGAGAAGCCAGGCTCAGTGGGAAGGGCCCACCAACATGGGGAAGCCCCTGAGTTCTGCAATCACCCCACTGATCCCCTAGATGCGGGGCCTGGGGTCCCCTGTTGGGGCCCAGCCCAACACAAAGAGCGCTTACCACACCGCGGTAGGTAGGAGGTATGAGGCCACAGTAGACGGGAACAAAGCAGCTGCAGTACAGGGCCTGGGGAGAAAATGCGGCTGGAGATGGCGCAGGCCCTGGGGATGGGATGGGAGGGCTCCACGGCTTCCCCCCTCCCCCAGCTTCCTCAGCCCTGAGCGGAGGCACCGGCCACGGGAGCAGAGCCTCAATGTCGATTCCAGGTGAGCTAGGTCCTTGGTAACTACTGGCCAACTGTCTCCGGTTGACGGGACGGGGCGGCCTCAGTATCTATCTCCCTGCTGACACCAGCGTTCCACAAGCCAATGGTCTGTGTCTGTCCTGGGCCGGGCCCTGGACTCCGAGGATGAAACGAGCACCCTTGGCAACACTCAAGGATGGGGAAGGGAGATGCCAGCACAAGGGGGACAGGCCTGGAGGGAGGCCACCCTGGGCATGGTGGCCCCAACGGAGCAGTGCAGGGCCGGAGGCAATGAAGGAGGGGAGGGGCGGGAGGAGGCGAGTGTGGTGAAGCAGGAAGGGAAGTAGGAGGGAAGAAAGATCCCAGGAGAAGAGGATCTAGCCGCACAAGGCGCAGGTGGGCGGCTTTGGGTATGCTGTGTGTGGTTGGCTTGTGAGGAGCTGTGACGATGGGATTCCAGAGACACAGGTGTGAGGCGGGCGCTGGTGGCTCACGCCTGTCATCCTAGCTACTCAGGAGGCTGAGATCTGAGGATCAAGGTTTGAAGCCAGTGTGAGCAGGAAAGTCTGTGAGACTCTTATCTCCAACTAACTAGCAAAGAGCTGGATGTGGAGGTGTGACTCAGGTGGTAGAGCACTAGACTTGATTGAAAAAGCTAAGGGAAAGTACCAAGCCCAGAGTTCAGGCCCCAGGATGAGCACAAAGAAGACAGAGACAGGTGTGGGGGGGGGGCCAGGGAAAAGGGTGGACATGTGGGATGGAAGGTTACCCAGCTTCACTAACCCCCCTTGTCTATGTGTGCATATGTGTGTATGTGTGTGTGTGTGTGTGTGCGTGTGCCAGTCCTGAAACTTGAACTCAGGGCCTGGGCACTATCTCTGAGCTGCTTTTGCTCAAGACTAGTGCTCTGCTACTTCTGGCTTTTTGGTAGTTTATTAGCAATAAGAATCTCATGGAGGGGAGGGAAGGGATGGTAGGGGAAAAACAAAGGAGGAGGTAACAATGCTCCATAGGAAATGTACTCATTACCTTACTCAGGTAACTGTAACCCCTCTGGACACTATTTTTACAGTAAAAAATGTATTTTAAAAAAGAAGCCAGGGCTGGGAAGGTGGCTCAGTGGTAGAGTGCTTGCCTTGCATGC